GGAGGACAAGGAGGAGGAGGAGGAGGAGGAGGAGGAGGAGGAGGAGGAGGAGGTGGTGGTGGTGGTGGTGGTGGTGGTGGTGGTGGTGGTGGTGGTGGTGAAGGAGGAGGAGGTGAAGGAGCAGCAGCAGCAGCAGGAGAGAAGCACAGTTGAGGACAGGGAGACAAAGAGAACGTCAGTCCAGGAGAAGGAAGCACTCCAAGTCCTAGAGACTACTTATCTGAGCCGGTAAGGCAATCAAAGTTTGGGAGTTGACGTGTCCTCGTTTCTGAGTAGATGTGCGCGACTTCCGACTGAGGGGAATCGGAGAGGAGGCGATGGATTTCACACGAGGGCTGCAAGGGCTGCTCAATCTCAGTGCCTTCGACAAACAAGAACAAGAACCGCACGGGAGTGAAAGGACAAGAGATTTTGCCGATGAGTCAGCACGAACATTCTATGTCCAAGCTGTCGAATCAGAGACGAGCATCGGGTTGAAGGCGAGCACCAACAACGACCGAGGAAGAAGTAGCGAGCCCGTCGATGACGCAATCATGAGGCTGCTGTCCTTCGTGATGTCCATGGAAGAGAAGGTGACGGGGGGAGAGCAGGTCTGCTTGCTGTCAGTGAGAGCTCGACTGATTCTAAGGCGCAGATGGATGTCTGGTTGGTGCAAGCCCTCGAGATCGTCAAGTCAGCATCCAACAGTCTTGACAAGGAGTCTGAGCATGTGCTAGGATGGAACTGAAGGAGCTGAAGCGCCTGGTATCTCAGCACAACCACCAGGTCCTTGACCCTCAACTAGAAGAAGCCTTCCAGTCAACCCGCTTGCAGCTATACGGCGATGGCGGTGGATATGGCGGAGGGAAAGGAAGCGAGCAGCAGCAGCAGCTTGCCTCCCTCTACTTCAACCTGCTTCAGGAGACCAAAGTATCAAGTCCTCCCTGTCGTTTGACCGCACTGAGTTTGCTGTTGCAGAGGGACTACGAAGAACGGCTCCAGCAGGTGATCATGCTGCATGCAACGTGAACCCCGGTCACTGTGTTTCGCAGCTCCAAGAGAAGTCTTCGAGCGAGCACGTAGGGCGATGGGGACTGGTCGGCCACTCTCTAGCTGACCTGCTGACCAGATCCTGAAGCATGAGAGGGAGAAAAGCCTGCTGGAGAACATCAAGGAGGTGGAGGTTGATGCCGGCATGCCGCCAGCCCTCACGCGCATGGCAGAGCTACGTGAATCAGATCGCTCTCATGGACGAGCTTCATACGGCAGAATGCGAGCGGGTTAGGCTGCTCTGACCTGCAGACGTCGTTGATGACGCATACTCTTCTCAGCTCAACGCAGCCTTGCAGCTGGCGGAAGAAGGTGATGAAGTCTGCGCATGACCCAGCTGTGAGCTGCCCTGCAGAGAAGAAGCAGCTAGAGCGGAGGCTGCAGGAGGCTGTGCAAGTGAGCATGGCCCTCCAGGTATGACGTCGAATGCGCGAAGCCTGATGGATGACATGCCCTTGCAGCGAGTGGACGAGTACCTGATAGCAGAGACGAAGATGATCGAAACTGCTGGTGATGTCGAAGGAGTCGACCAAGTGACAAACACGCTGCTGATGCTTCATGGTGGCAGTCCGACGACTCGAGCACAGTCACAACCTCGAGCTCGACATGGCACGTTCTCCTCCTGGAGGCTTCTTTGCGGCTGACACGAGTCGGCAGATCCGCAGTAGTCCAACGAGGACCGACAATGGGCTGTCGATGCTTGAAGTTGACGCCCTCATATACCAGCAGAACCTGATGCAGTTTGAGTTCAACTCTGAGTTCAGGAGGAGTCAAAAGTATGGGACTGCAAAGAAGAACTTGGACTTTACCATCCCCCACCGTCAGGTACTGAATCATTTCAAGTGTCAAGATTCGAGTCATTACGTGCAGGACAAGGCCCTGTACTTGGCTTCCCCTGGAATCGTAAGAGATTGTCTTGTGGAAATTTCGACTTACGACTCATGACTCTGAAAGATCTCAAAGGAGAGTCAAGTCTTGCGAACCCCGTCCTTGGTAAAACAAACATCAAAAAAGCTGTTTCCTCATGATGGCTTGTCAATCATGAGATCTACTGCCCTCCCTCCCTCCCTCCCTCCCCTCCCTCTCTCTCCCCCCTCCCCTTCCTCCCTCCCTCCCTTCCTCTCTCTTTCTTTCTGGTGATCCTTCACGTCTGGACTGATCGATTTCTTGTTGCAGGATGACAATCTCCTCGTCCGGCACAACAAGGAGTTCCTCCCTTCTATTCAGCTTCAGCTCGACGATGATCTGCCGGCCGCCTTCACCATCTTCCCCTCTCAGACCGAAGTGACAACATTTCTATATCGAGGCGCTTCTGCGAATGATGTCCATTGCAGGTTCAGGTGAAGCCTTCTTTCCAGCCGCTCGGTGCAGATCGAAGTGATCCCGGGCTGTCTGAGGTGTTCGTCCTCTCCTTCCTTGCTAAGAAGTGTAACGAATCCGTCAGGTCGATCTGAACCCTCAGGGAGCCGCCAGGTCCTTCAGGTACTCTGCCTCGCCTTGAGCAATGACGACAGATGGGCGTGGACGATGTTGAGAGATGTACCATAGGAGTGTGATGGAGAAATGAGTGTAGGAAGTCGATGAGATCTCTATGAATTATCCTTTATACCGTCACATACTTGCTGGAACGATTCGACCTCCAGGCCCGTTCTAACTCAACTTTGCTCTATACATGCCTGACTACGGACACTCGTTCACAACTGAGTGAATTGTAGACAGTCAGGTGATAGATCGGACAAGGTCGCGGCCACGTCTGAGGACCTGCCGTAATCTCTCGGGTAGTCGGCCTGTTCCTTCTGCTCTGACAGTGAGCCTGTAGAAAGTTTGACGGCCGGTTGTACCTTGACGTTTTTTTTGACCTTTTGTTCAACGGTCGTGAATCAGTAAATGTCCACATGCCGGTAGACGTAGGGGGGTAGGATGTTGAGGAGGAGGAGGACAGGGAAGCCTTCCAACTTCTACGAGCTGCTTCATGCCGACACCTCCTTCCTCTCCCCTCGCGTCGCCTCCGTTGAGCCTGCGAGCATGGAGGGCTCGAGGAAGACCTGGAGAAGTCTCAGCAGTCAGCCCATCTACGAGCAGTACACGTCCGGCATGCACGACAACACCTTCCTGCTGCATGCAGAGGAGCTGGAGAACAGGAACGTGCTCGCGCTCCTCAAGAACGAGACGAGGCTGCACAACGCTGTGCGGGGGAAGTACGACCTGACTGACATTCTTGCCACCGAATCTCTCAACGTTCAGTTCAACCGGAGCGGGTTGAAGGTGCCGAAGAAGGACGTGAGCAAGGTGATCGAGCTCTCCATCGCCTGCGAGGACCTCCCGCTGCTGCCGCGAGCCATCTGCGTCGACCCGATCTGCGTGGTGTACAAGCATCCTGACTTGATCTTCGATAAGAACGACCTATGGAAAGAAGTACGAGGAGGAGGAGGAAGAGGAGGAGGAAGAGGAGGAGGAAGAGCAGGAGGAAGAGCAGGAGCAGGAGCAGGACAAGCAGCAGCAGCAGCAGCAGCAGGATCGCTCTTCATCATCATGACGACATGCTCGCAGGCCTTCCGGACTGAGAGGGTTACGGAGAGCTCCTGCCCCAAGTTCCAGAAGGTGATGAGGATCCGATATCACGGGCCAGACAAGTCGCAGCCGCTCAAGTTCTGCGTGTTTGACAACCCTGGTGAGGAACGAGGAGGAGGAAGAAAAGGAGAGAGAGAGCGAAAGCGAGTGGGGGGGGGGGGGGTGAGGAGAGGGGAGAGGGAGAGAGCAGGGAGAGGGAAGGTGGCGAAACGAGAAGGAGAGGAAGGGGCAGGGGCAGGAGGGAGGGGAGGGTACAGGGATTGACGTCAGGCAGACATAACTTCGGACAAGGAGACTGCGCGGCTGAATGTGACGATCGGCAAGTTAGAAACAACATTGCAGACGATCGTTGAGGCAACACCTGGGCAGGAGCTGGGGACAAGGACCAGCTGACGTCTGTGCAGGAGTCCGAGGCCAGAGGAGCTTTCGAGGCAGAGCTCGAGGTGGAGAAGCCCAGGTGGGAGGAACCTCCTTGACACCTGCTGGGGCTGAGCTGGGCTGCCTGCAGGATGTCGAGGAGCGAGGAGAAGGTGCAGCAGCAGGGAAGAATCATCATCCGAGTCAAGTCAGTCCATCCATCCCTTCCCCTCATCCTCCTTCCTCCCCTCTCCTCCCTCCTCCCCGCCTTCCTCTTCCCTTCCTCTTCCCTTCCTCTTCCTCTTCCTCTTCCTCTTCCTCTTCCTCTTGACTCTCACTGTCATCTGCCTGCTTCCTGACTGGATCTTACTTCTCCGCTCAGCATGGAGACATCTTCATTTGCCAAGGCTGTCAGGGGGTAAACCATGAGACAATCCTCCTCCTCTTATTCCCATCCTCTTCTTTCATCGTCTTCCTCCTTGTGTCTTCTTCCTCCTCCTCTTCCCATCCTCTTCTTTCATCGTCTTCCTCCTTGTGTCTTCTTCCTCCTCCTGTTCCCATCCTCTTCTTTCATCGTCTTCCTCCTTGTGTCTTCTTCCTCCTCCTGTTCCCATCCTCTTCCTCCTCCTGTTCCCATCCTCTTCCTTCTCCTTCGTGTCCTTCTCCTCCTCTTCCGCCACTGTCTTCTCATTCTGCCTGGTTTTCAGTCTCATCCAAAACCAGCAGAACCGGATCTTCAGGGTGAGAGAGAGTGAGGGAGGAAGAAGACAAGGCCGAGGGGGAACTGAGAAGGAGGAGGAGGGAGAGGGGCAGGAGGAGGATAGTGATGGTGTCTTGCGGATCAGGCGGCACAAGAGAAGAAAAAGGCCTTAAAGCTTGAGCAACATGTGGAATTACCTTCCTCGTCTGCATCGGTAACGAGCCCTTCTCCTCTCCTCTCCTCTCCTCTCCTCTCCTCTCCTCTCCTCTCCTCTCCTCTCCTCTCCTCTCCTCTCCTCTCCTCTCCTCTCCTCCCCCTCGTCCTCCCCCTTCTCTTCTCTCCCTTCAGCTTTCGCTATCAAGAGACTCACCGGGTGGAGCAGGAAGAGACTTCTGTCCTCGCGAGGAGCGCGATGGGTCATGGAGGAGAAGCATGCGCATCCTCCGCTCACTCCTCGCCCTCCCTCCTCCTGCAAGCCATCCAAGTCTCCTCGCTCAGGAATCAACTTGTGTGAAAGCCGGTGAAGCTTGTGGAGGGGAAGGGGAAGCAAAGAACGAGGACGAGGCGAGGACGAGGATGAAGCGAGAAACAGGAGGAGGGGAGGGGGAGTAGAAGAAGGAGGACGAGGAAGAGGAACAGGAGGAGGGAGAGAAGGAGGAACAGGAGACGCTGAAAGCTGTACAGGACGAGTAACGAGACTCTCGACTTGCTTCTCGACATTGCAGTCGATGGTTCTTGTCTTGAGCTGCAGAAAGAAGCTTCTCCTGCTCTAGCAGCCATCGCTCAGATCAACCCTTCCGTGAGATCCTTTGATGACCTCAGCTCCTCCGCTCTCTGCCCTTAGAGCCTCCTCCTCCTCCTCCTCCTCCTCCACCTCCGCCGCCTCCCTCCTCTTGATGGTGCTGCTCATGGTGTAGGAGGATGGTGAGCATGACCCGGGGAAGAAGAGGAGGACGAGGAAGAGGAGGAGGGAGCAGAAGACGACGATGATCATGATGGAGTAGTTGAGCTTCATCGTCTCCACCATCACCATCACGGTCATCAACATGATAAGTAGCATGATCATCCTTGTCATCACCCT